ACAATTATTGTTTAATGGGTACAGAGTGTCAGTTTTGCAAGATGAAAAAAGGTCTGGGTATGGATGGCAGTGTTGATTGCACAACAACGTAAATGTACTCAATGCCATTAAAGCATATACTTTAAAATGGTTCAAATGGTAAATTTTATGTTATATATATATATTACTACAATTTTTAAAATAAAAATAAAAATATTTTTACAAAACCAATTCAAATGTTAAGGAAGTGTACTGGCACATATACCTGGAGGTCCCGAGGTGGGGTGTGGCTCAGGTGGGACTTCAATATTCCTCTTGGTTTACCCTCTTTGGGTTGGTATCAAGATGGCTGCCACAGTGTCTCGTTCATCACACCCATATCGCAACAGGAAAAGAGAACTCTTCCATTCCAGCCTTTCAAGCAAAGGGACTGCAATTCCTTCTGATTAGAACACGTGAACCAGTGTTTACCCCTGAACCAGTGACTGTTGCAGGGGGCATGGAATGAAAGATACTGATTGTCTTAATCCAACTCCAGAGCCTGAAGTCGAGGGTGGGGCAGCTTCCCTCCTAGGAACATGGGCTGTCTGCGGAAGGGGTGAATATCTGGTAGGAAGGAGGAAGGAGCAGATGGAGATGGGTTAAGCAACTAGAAAAATTTACTATTTCACATCCAGCTCAGACGTGCTGAAAAAGCTTTCCAGGAGATGTGAATGCCATCCGTGGAGGAGAAATTAATGTGTGTGCAAGAGCAGATGGGTTTTCCTTTCTGCATTAGTTCTCAGAACCTGCTAACTTGCAGACTCTAGTACTTTCATCCATACCTCATTGCTGTCTGCGGGACATCTCAGCACACATCTTTTTCCTTGGGGTATAGTAATATATATATATATATATATATTTTTTTTTTTTTTTCCTGGAGGTGATTTTAATAGAAAGCTAGTCTCATTCATTTCTGGTTGATTCTTAATGGTATGTATTTAATTATTTAATTATTTTTAAACAACTTTGTTGAGTTATAATTGACATTAAGTCATACATATTTAAGGTGTACAATTTGATAGTTTTTATATGTACAGTTGGCCCTCTGTTAGTAATACTTATTAATCGAGATGTTGCACTTCATTTACTCAAATATTTATTGAGACCCACTTCATGTCTTTTAGGCAAAGGGAAGA